CCTCCTCCCAGGTAGCTGGGACGACAGGCATGCGCCACCACCATGCCGGGCTCATTTTTCTATATTTATTTAGTTGGCCAAATTAATTTTTCTTTCTATTTTTAGTAGAGAGACAGGGGTCTCGCTCTTGCTCAGGCTTGTTTCAAACTCCTGACCTCGAGTGATCCTCCCGCTCGGCCTTCCAGAGTGCTAGGATGACAGGCGTGAGCCACCCGCGCCGGACCGATACAATATTTCATTAAACTCATGACTAACGTTCATTTTCCTTTGACATTCATTCTTTCTTTCTTCATTCGTCCAAGTTCTGCTTTTTAAAAAAAATACTGTTATTTATTCTCAAAAGCCTGAGACATTGGGAAACTTTGGAGGAAAAAGATGTATTCGATGGCGTCCGTACGGTATTTTTTGAACTTCGTGCAAGTCGCCAACGTCCTAATTTGTGACTTGCAAAGTGGCAGTGTGCAATCTCTTTGCATTTTTTCATCCCTCTCCTTTCTTCTCTTCTCTTTAGGTTCTTTTTTTATGTTGACATCCCTGATGCTCCACGCTCGGACTCCGGTTGTGGAGTGCTTTCCATAGAAAAAATTTTGCCAGATGCGTAAAACCCTTTGTTCATTCGAGTGGCGTTCTATTTTCTAGTGTGAAGCCGTGAGCGTCAGTGATTCTTGCTTGCCCGCGCCCCAAGCTGACCGTGGCTGGAGAGTAGAGTCACCCGATTAAACGATTCAAAACATTTTTTTAAAGACAGATGACTAGGAAATGTGAGGGCATAACAATGTGGGGTGTTTTATTGTGTCTCTTTTTCTGCAGAAGAGTTATTAAGCGATTAGTTAAGCGCTGGAGCCACCATCTCTATTTAGCACTTACCATGCCCCATTGCTGTTTAGTGTTGTGTGTCTATGTCTTACTTCTCGTCGTGATGTGTTTGGGCTCTAATAAATGTTTATTTGGGGGTCCAATCCTGCTGGGGGCCCTTAAATCAGGGCATTTGTTTGTATTGGTGGTCTCTTGGTTAGTCGCTTGTCCATATTGTCGTCTGCTGGCCTGTGTCGATGGTATGGCTTTAGAATGCTCTCTAGGGGTTATATGTCGATTCGTAGACGATCAGTCGTGCTCTCGAGAGCCTCCGTTCTCTAGTAATAGTTGTGTCTCTGAGATTAGTAACTGGACATACTAAATGTGTTGTGTGGTGTAATGCTTATTCCTATTAGTTAGTAATTCGTGAGGTGCTGGAGAGGAAGGGATTGGGTGTGCTTTGAGTGCTGTATGGTCAGCTCTCGGGAGGTAGCTGATGTGTGAGCATGTCGTTTGAAGGATGCGCATGAGTCTGAGACTTGTTTGCTGTGTTGATCTCTGAGTGCTGATGCCAACTTGTTCTTCCACTTCCTCGGATAGCGACGGAGTGTTAGGGCTGGCATCCAGGCAGGGATTGAGGTCGTGGGCCCTGTGCTCATAACCAGTGAATCATATTATTCTACGACATCTCAAATCGGTGGGAGGGATGGCTTACTAAGTGATGTATAATTTTGATGTATTAGATTATGGTCTATGTATTTTAATAACATACACACACAGTGTAACAGGAGGTTCCGGGGAGAAGGGATGGTTGTAAGCCTGCCTCAGCACAATGGCTGTTAGGCAGGGTCAAATGTTCAATAGATCATGTCATGAGAAGAGCTGTCCAAGAGACAGGACGGCATGCGATCTCGGGGTCTGATTAATCTTGTGAGTGCTGTAGGTGGAGATCATCGCCAGCGGTCTAGTAGTGCATAATGGCACCATCTACTCCATTAATCTAATGAGCATTCCCATTAAATACTGGCGCTGTTATTAAATACTAGATAATAACATGAACTATGATACAATTGAACACTTTTGTGACGTATGGAGATATCTTGTACTATTTTTTTACATTATAATTTGTGTCCCATTGATGTTCTTGGTCATTTCTCAGTGGCTACTCTCCGTGTTGCGGCTTCTTTCGTGGTGACCTCACGCCACCGCAGAGCATATCCTGGCATGTTTTAGAATGCAGGCGAACCCACTCCTGGCATGGGTGGATCTGTTAGAACTGAAGGAATGTTTTGTGGTGGAGAAGGGTTTGTATGTTACTAATATCTGGGCCTTCTTGGAACCAAGGGAGTATTTGGTCCCTCTGGTGTCCTGATGTCTGCCACCTGGTTAAGCACAACAGTATCTCATGAGTCCTTAGTTTGGCGGTTTCTCTCTATTAGAGGCAATGCTTGTAATAGTCCAGATATGTTTCTTAGCTGCCCTAGCTTGCAGTGGTTATTTAGGTATATAAATGAGTTATTAGATTTGCAAGTTAATCTTATTCCATCTGTTTTTGTCCCCGCTAGGCGAAAGGACCTGGGGTGCATGGATTCTTGCGCTCGGCAGTTCACTCCTGAGCTCGATGTAACTCATTCCGTAATACACATCCGAGCAGGAAAAGGAGAGTGCAATAGTACTTAATTCTCCACGGAAACCCAAGCATGCAGAAATGCCTTTACAAGACCTTTCAAGCGCGGTCTAGCCCGTTTCTTGAGCTATTGCCCACGCATTGTCGGTGGTGAATTGGGGCGCGGTGTAGGTAGTGTGTGCCAGTTCTAGTGAATAATGCACTTCAGTGCTGTTTTGGACCCTTTGGGCCGGGCATTGCTGCCAGGAATGGGGTTCTGTCCGTGGTAATCTATAGGCCTGTCTATCCTGCAAACTGTCTTGACTGACGCGACAGAGCGTCGTGAGGATCGTTCGCTCTAGAGATCGGAAGTGACATTAAAGTTCAGAGTAAGAAAGAGGCCAAGAAACTGTCATGTCAAGAAGCGGAGAAGAACCCGTCTTATAAAATAGACAAATTGACACTGGACCATCTATAAATGTTGAGCAATCAAACCAATTAGAATAAACAAATGAGAGCGGATGTGTGTGCCTCTGGGCCGGTGGCGCGTTTAATGTGTCGTATATAAATCCTAGTAGTTCCCACAGAGTTATCGGCAGCAAGATATTAGGTTGAGTGAGGACTGGCGGGGGAGGAATGAGGCTGGTGCGGACCCATACTGAGATGTCTCGATGTGGTGTAGACGGGAGGTGTGGTGAGAGGTTCAGGAGGGGTAAGACTAAAAATAAATAATAAATGGATAGGAATCAGCTGGGGGCAATCTTTTGCGCTTTATAATCGTAGTGATTGTTTGTACGAAAAAATCACGGAAACATTTCTTCGCATCTCGATTGCCTCCAGAATAGCTAGTGCATAAAACATTGGTGTATGCAGCTATGTGTGATCTGGCATAGAAGATAATATTGCGTGTTTATGTTTCGTATTGCTCTTCCTCCAGAATTTTGCCTGTTTGCAATCTCAGCATTTTGAATTATGTATACCTATATGAGGCTGCGGATATTCTTCAATTATTTGTTAGGATTTTGAGCTAGGACACTCAGGATTATTAGGGTGTTGTATTGTTGTTTGGGTTTTGGTGCGATCCTTTTGTTTCTATTACTAATCAGCGCTCACCCCCCGTTAGCATAGCGCCTGTTACATATGCTGTAACGTGCAGAGGAAAATCTATCCGTGTTGTGGATTGGCTTGCATGGCTGCAGCCTTCTAAGGTATGTCGCAATTACATGACAGATGTGAGAAATCCACGAACGTTCTGAAGAGAAATTCGCGTTTTGGTATCTGATAGTGTCTGGTAGCGCCTATTGTCAGCCAGGAGTTTGTTATGGCCTGGAGGGTTCTAGACATGGGACTTATGGACTTAACCGCTCATGGCCTATGCCTTTAGTTTGCCTACTGGTACCTTCATGGATGTGTCGCTAAGGCGACTTAGTGGCTTGGAGGATTCTGGGCGTGGTTGATGTTCGCAGGGGTCATGGCTGCCACCGGGTAGTGTAATAATAGTATCTGTATATGATGTGGAGAGTGGAGGCCGGTAGAGCATTCTCTGCTCTCTTCTGTCGCTGGGTCTGGGAGCCCTGAGTCTTCGGTGAGTTGCCATGAGACTTCTGGATTTGGGTGTGCCTCTTGCTGTGCTTTTCCTGAGCTAGTCTTAATAGACTATATCTTGCTCTAGGCTGACGCCACGGCACTCACTCTAGCCTGGGCAACAGAGTGAGACTCTGTCTCAAAAAAAAAAAAATCATTTAATTCAAGAAAACCACTTTGAAGAAAGCGTCCTTAGAAAAAAACCCACTAATTTACATATATACTCCCAGCTGAAAGTGGAATCTTAAACTAGTCACAATTATGAAATCTTATTTTTCCACTTAAAATCTATGTTATGCAGAAAGGAAACTTTTTAACAGCTCTGCAGATCATTAAATAGTGGAGCACTTTGGTTTCAAAATATCTTAAGTCACCATAATTTTAATAACTTTTTGAGTAGTTGCCAGTTTAATTTTCAGTATGTGCAAATTGGAGATAAATTATTTATTACTTCCAGCAAATGTCTGTCACAGTTTTATTTAATTTTTTTCGTCCTTTTTTAATAGATCATAAAATGGCAATCTTTTATTGGAGACTGCATAAAGTCGGGAGCAAATGAATACTTTGCAAATAGGTTACTGTAGACAGAAATGTCAGCCGTATTTCATGAAGTTTGGAATTTCTCAGATCAGAGTAGGTTCGACATATGGGCATTGAGCCATTCTCCCATTTTGGGGGAGTCATATGTCTTTAGACATTAAATGAAAATATTGTGATTCCTAGGACTCGTTGGATTTCATTCAATGGATTGCATATCACAATACCATCTAATAACTTCTCACATGGAATGAATTTAGCACACTTGCATTTAGTTTTAGGGTCACTAGTTGACATGAAAATTCTGTCTTTTTGTTATGGTAAGTTGTTAAGGTTTGTTCTATTTCTCTGCTTTGAAAAAAAATTCTGGCCGGGCCTGATGGCTCACGCCTGTCATTCAAGCACTCTGGGAGGCCCAGGCGGGAGGATCGCTCGAGGTCAGGAGTTCGAAACCAGCCTGAGCAAGAGCGAGTCCCCCTGCCTCAGCCTCCCGAGTAGCTGGGACTACAGGCACGTGCCACCATGCCTGTGTAATTTTTTTCTATATAGTTTTAGTTGGCCAATTAATTTCTCTCCATTTTTCTCTATTTCTATTTCTTTCTATTCTCTCTATTTTTAATAGAGACGGGGGTCTGTCTGGCTCTTGCTCAGGCTGGTCTCGAACTCCTGACCTTGAGCCATCCTCTGGCCTCGGCCTCCCAGAGTGCTAGGATGACAGGCGTGAGCCACCGCGCCCGGCCTCCATTTTATATTTTTAAACAGTAAACTTGTGATGATAGTAACACACCAAACGGGATCTGCGAATTTTCCCTCTTTTTAGGTTTTTGTGCATTTGGGACAATCTCAGCGTTTCTCTGGATTAAGAAATTTCTTAATGTCCCTGTTTATAGTAGCGCTTTTTAAAAGGAACACTTAGGATCTCTTTAAGAAGTTTGTCTCTGGCTTAACGAATAAAGACTGGAACGAAGAAAGAAAAAAAAGAATCTGGGAGAATTTGCCAAAAGCTGTGAACCTAAGTCTATGTTTTTTTTTTTTTTCCCCGCCACTGGTCTTGCATTATGTAAGACGATAAACACCTCTTATAATCCCCTGGTTTTTAATTTATTTGTGATTGTTGTTTCTTCTTTCTTTCCCCAGAACTCTTGATGTTTCAGTGAGCTTTAATGGAGGGAAATCTGTGATCTCGAGCTCCTTAATTGTTACAGCCACAGAATGTGTAAGTAAAAAGTTTGCATTAAGTTACCTTTTACAGGTAATTCCACTCGGAAACATTCTGTATGTTGAATATAGAATATATATATATATATATATATATATATATTCTCAGTATTGTAGCATACATCAATAAAGAAGATAACAGACCATAACATAGAAGAATGTTACGGGGATATTTCTATAGGTTTTTTTTTTTTTTTTTTGCCGAGTCACTAGACGACAGCTCGAGCAGATGCCAATCTCAGAGCTGGTGGGTGGGATGCTATGTCTATTTGCTGTTTCCCGGAGTTCCTTCGTCTTGTATGTTTCGATTGTTTTGTTTATTTTTCTTTTTCTTTTTTTTTTTTTTTCACCACGACATGTTAGGATTTTTTTCTTTTTTTGAGACAGAGTCTCCTCTGTCGCCGGGCTAGATGGATGCGTGGCGTCCAGCCTCGTCCAAGACACTCGACCTGGGCTCAAGCTGAATCCTCTGGCCTCGTCCTCTGAGTAAGCCGGCGACAGGCATGCGCAGCACGTGCCAGACTACTTCTAATAGGTTTTCAGCTTAATTTCTTCCTATTTTTTAGTAGAGACGGGGTTCTCACTCTTGTCGGGCTGGTTCTAACTCCATGCCTCGAGCGATCCTCCCCTAGCCTCGCAGTGTGCTAGGATGAAGGGGGGTGAGCCCACCATGCCGGCACGAATTGCTTTTGTTTTTTTTTTTTTTTTTTTAGACCGGTTCAATTGTTGCCCAAGACTAGAGTGAGTGCCGTGGCGTCAGGCCCGCTCACAGCAACCTCCAACTCTGGCGGTCAAGCGGATGCCTCTGCCTCAGCCTCCCGAGGTCGCTGGGACTACAGGGCACTGCGTACTTTGTCGGGCTTACTTTTTTATATATTTTTAGTTGGCAATTAATTTTCTGTCTATTTTGTAGGACGGCGGTCTCGCGTCTTCTCAGGTTGGGTCTCGAACTCCTGACCTCGGAGCGATCCTCCACCTGCTCTCCAGAGTGCTGGATGACGCGTGAGCAACTCGGTCGGCCCAACGAATTGCTTTCTTCTTAGCATTTCTTTTCGTAAAACTCAGGGCTTGTGGGTTTGGTTGAAAAAGGGATTAACACGAAGATGTCTACTGGAGACTGGAACTGAGAATGTTAGCGAGGTAGGCTAGCACGGTCAGCCTGCATTTGGAAATTGATATTACAGATCGTAAATGGAAATTAGGAGTATCTGGGCAATATGCTATCCAGGTACTGATCGCTGTGTAGAATGGGGTCTTGAAGGTTGTTGGGGGTGGATCTATATTATTAAAATTTAATTTATTTGAATATAGGTCATGTTCTGGGATGAACAAATTCTTAATTATAAAACAAGAAAGTATTGTAGGGTGAGGTGTGGTTCTTTTATCTTTATTAGGACACAATTTATCTTTTAAATGTCAAGGAGCTAAACATTTTTTTTTTTTTGAGATCAGTATCACTCTGTTGCCAGGCCTAGAGTGTGCTGACATAGGCCTCGCTCACAGCGAACCTCACCTCCTGGGTCAAGCGGATCTCCTGCCTCAGCCTCCTCCGAGTAGCTGGGACTACAGGCATGCGCCACCACGCCGGGCTAATTTTTTCTACATATTTTCATTGTCCAGCCAATTTATTCTATTGTTTTAGTAGGAGAAGGGAGTCTTGCTCTTGCTCAGGCTGGTCTCGGGTGCTGAGCTCAAAGCGATCCTCCCGCCTAGCTCCAGAGTGCTAGGATTATAGGCACGAGCCACGCGCCCAGGTGGCTTAGTTTTATTGCTACTAATAAGGAGAAAGAAAAAATAGCAGGCAAGGCAGTATAGTTCAGGTTCAATATAAGGAAGATCTTTTAAATATGAATTATTCAGTTAGTGCTTTGATAACTAAAAGTGCTTAAAGAGGGACAGTATATATGATGATGTAGAAATATTATTTAAATGTGTACTTAAATGCCTTATAATTGCTTAATTTTTATATTATTAAATTCTTTATTGTGTTATTTATACATACGACATTAGTTAGTAGGAAGAACTCGACATTTTAGATGAAGGCACTAAAGATTGGGCTATTTTTTCAAGTGTCTTTTTAGTATTTATGAAAATGCACAAAGCATTAATAAGGGGATTATTTTCAGTGTCACACTGGAAACAGTTATAATGCCAATTTAGGTGAATAGCTAATACATCTTTGAAGAGAGCTGCCTTCTTTGGAAATCTAGCAATTTTCCTGACTATGGCTTTTGTTTTAGTTATGTATACATATTGAATATTTTTAAGAATCAATGAATCCTAGCACTCTGGGAGGCCGAGGCAGGTGATTGCTCAAAGTCAGGAGTTCGAAACCAGCCCAGTGAGGTCCGTCTTCTGACTATTAAATAGGGAATTAATTGGCCATAATTATTATATATATATAAAATTAGCGCAAGGTGGCGCATGCCGTAGTCCAGCTACTCAGGAGGTGGAGGCGGAGGATCGGCTATGAGCCAGGATTGGAAGTTGCTGTGAGCGAAGGGCTAGAGTGAGTGCCGTGGCGTCAGCCTCGCTCACAGCAACCTCAGACTCCTGGGCTCAAGCGATCCTCCTGTCTCAGCCTCCCGAATAGCTGGGACTACAGGCATGCGCCACCATGCCCGGCTCATTTTTTCTATATATTTTTAGTTGGCCAATTAATTTCTTTCTATTTTTAGTAGAGAGACGGGGTCTCGCTCTTGCTCAGGCTTGTTTCAAACTCCTGACCTCGAGCGATCCTCCCGCCTCGGCCTCCCAGAGTGCTAGGATGACAGGCGTGAGCCACCACCGCGCCCGGCCGATACAACTATTTCATTAAACTCATGACATAACGTTCATTTTCCTTTGGACATTCATCTTTCTTTCTTCATCTCGTCCAAGTTCTGCTTTTAAAAAAAATACCTGTTATTTATTCTCAAAAGCCTGAGACATTGGGAAACTTTAGGAGAAAAAGATGGTACTTCGATGGCGTCCGTAACGGTATTTTTTGAACTTCGTGCAAGTCGAAAACATCCTAATTTGTGACTTGCCAAAGTGGAGTGTGCAATCTCTTTGCATTTTTTTCATCCCTCTCCCTTTCTTCTCTTCCTCTTTAGGTTCTTTTTTATGTTGACATCCCTGATGCTCCACGCTCGGACTCCGATTGTGGAGTAGCTTCCATAGAGAAAACTTTGCCAGATGCGTAAAACCCTTTGTTCATTCGATGGCGCTTTATTTTCTAGGTGTGAAGCCAGTGAGCGTCCAGCTGAATTCTATGCTTTGCCCTGCGCCCATCCTGACCGTGGCTGGAGAGTGAGTCACCCCGATTAAAACGATTCAAAAACATTTTTTTAAAAGACAGATGACTAGGAAATGTGGAGGGCGATAACATGTGGGTGGTTTTATTGTGTCCTCTTTTCATGCACAAGAGTTATTAAGTAATTATTAAGCCCTGGGCAAGCCCACCCTAGTTTAGCACTTCACCTGTGCCCTTCGTAGGTTGACAAATGCTGACCTATGTCTTAACTTCTCACGTCGTGATTGGTGGGCTCTATAAATGTTTATTTGGGTGGGTTCCAATCCTGCTGGGGGACCCTATAAAAATAATCAGGGCACTAGGCCGGGCGCGGTGGCTCACGCCTGTCATCCCAGCACTCTGGGAGGCCGAGGAGGGAGGATCGCTCAAAGTTCAGGAGTTCGAGACCAGCCTGAGTAAGAACGAGACCCCCGTCTCTACTAAAAATAGAAACAAATTAACTGGACAACTAAAAATATATAGAAAAAATGAGCCGGGCATGGTGGTGGCACATGCCTGTGGTCCCAGCTACTCGGGAGGAGGCTGAGGCAGGAGGATCGCTTGAGCCCAGGAGTCTGAGGTTGCTGTGAGCGAGGCTGACGCCACGGCACTCACTCTAGCCCGGGCGACAAAGTGAGACTCTGTCTCAAAAAATAAAATAAAATAAAATAAAATAGCAGAGAACCATCTTGGCTTTTTAATCGTAGTGACTGTTTAACGAAAACAGCACAATTTCCTCTCCGAAGTAGTTATAAAATGGAGCATGCCTGTTCTATCCCAGGCACTAGATTTTTTGTTTTGTTTCGTCTTTTTCCTCCAGAATTTGCCTTTTTGCACAATCTCCTTTTGAATAGAATACCATAGAGGCTGCTGATATTCTTCAATTATTTGTAGATAGGCTAAACACTCAGGAGATAGGGGGTTTTTTTGTTTTTTGTTTTTTTTTTTTAAATCACACGTAGCGCCATAAATATGCGACAGGAGAAATCATCATCCGTTTGGCTCTTGACGTTAATATTTCACCTACGAGCAGACCGGAGAACGTTTTGGGACCAGGATCTGTCTGATAGCATTACTTTCGCCTGCCTTTGTTTTGCCTCTGGTACGCGAGACTGCTAAGGCGAAGCTTTGGAAGATTTTATTTGTTAACGTGTATCAGGTATTTGGGGACATCATTATTTTCTCTGCTTAGTAACGTTGCAAGTCATTTGGACCTTTCCTTTGCTTTGAATTTCCTTCAGATACCTTTTTTTTTAATATATATATTTTTTTTGTAGTAGGCGATGGGCTCTCTTATGAGATTGCATTAAAAATCAACACCCTCGAAAACAGTTTAGCCTTGTAAGGATGCTCACTGTGTTTGCCTAATTAGCTTTTGGCTAAGGATGCAAACCCATTAAGCAGCTAGTTAGTCTGTGTTTCAAATAAACACATCTGGCCCAGCAGGCAACGAAGGTTTTTTTTTTTTTTTTTTTTTTTTGTCGTTGTTGTTGTTTTGTTTTTTCCTGCGTAAGGATGACAGATGTGGCAATGGTCCCCCCTGTTCTGTCTCACTTAAATAATTAACAACATGCAAAAAAAAAATGTGTTTAGTCCTATGACATTTTAAAAGAAAATTGTGTCTAATGAAAGTAATAGAAAAGAACCACACCCACCTTACATTCTTTCTGTTTCAATAGTAAGAATTTGTTCATCCCAACATGAACCTCTATTGCAAATAAATA